ACTGTTTTAAATATTGATGATAATAATAATGTTTCTTGAACGGCAAATCAGCATATTGGAATGTTTTCTGAAGAATCATGTGACACTGAAGACTGGAGTAATGATGCTAAAAATTCTGCTTTGATCACAGGAATAAATTACATTTAAAAATATATTCAAATAGAAAGCACTTATTTTAAATAGTAAAAAATATTTCACAACTAGGGTTGTAACGATATGAGATTTTCACATTGTGATAATCGTCTCAGAAAATATCATGGTATCACGGTATATATTCAACAATAATTCTTATCAGTAACAATGACTCTTAAAAGAATAAGAACAAGTTATTTGAGTGAACAAATCCTTTATTATAACGAACTTGAAACCATTTTAATGAAGGTATTGAAGTCTCCCTTCTGAAAATAATAATAATAATAATAAACAAATTTCATTTAATTTTAAAAACAATTAAAAAATAAAGCTATACACCTTATGTATATCTATCACTTATTTTAAATAGTAAAAAATATTTCACAACTAGGGTTGTAACGATATGAGATTTTCACATTGTGATAATCGTCTCAGAAAATATCATGGTATCACGGTATATATTCAACAATAATTCTTATCAGTAACAATGACTCTTAAAAGAATAAGAACAAGTTATTTGAGTGAACAAATCCTTTATTACAACGAACTTGAAACCATTTTAATGAAGGTATTGAAGTCTCCCTTCTGAAAATAATAATAATAAACAAATTTCATTTAATTTTAAAAACAATTAAAAAATAAAGCTATACACCTTATGTATATCTATATCACACTTTAACATTTTAATTAATGTTTTAAAATGTTATCAAAGGAAAATTTTACAACTTTTACTTTTGGCAAAGTTCTGCACAACAAAGGTATACTAAGTTAAAACATGGACAAACATGATATTCCTTAAAAATAATGTTTAAATAAATTCATTATAAAGAATATTATTATTGTTGTTATGAGAACTTTGAAGTGCATTGAACAATGCTAAAATTTTTCTGGATTCTGTGTTTTATGATTTATTACAAATGTATAAACTAAAACTATGATCATGAAAAACAAATCTTAACAATAAATCAGTCTTTCTGAGCAATGCAGCAGCATTTTACTGAAATGAAAACTTGGATGAAAAAATATTTTGATAGGGACTAGATGAATAGATTGTTATATTTTGACATTGTGAAATATTTTGACTAGTTCAAATGAAATGCTGGTGGAATGAGCAGCTCTGGAGATGGAGTTTTATGTTTATGTTCAAATGCAAGATGAGTTTGCCCCTACACTACCAGTCAAACGTTTTTGAACAGTAAGATTTTTTATGTTTTTTTAAAGAAGTCTCTTCTGCTCACCAAGCCTGAATTTATTGGATCCAAAGTACAGCAAAAACAGTAAAACTTTGAAATGTTTTTACTATTTAAAATAACTGTTTTCTATTTGAATATATTTTAAAATGTAATTTATTTCTGTGATTTAAAAAAAAATTATACTAACTCCAAGCTTTTGAATGGTATAGTGTATAATGTTACAAATGCTTTTTATTTAAGGTAAATGCTGATCTTTGGATCTTTCTATTCATCAAAGAATCCTGAAAAAAGTACTCAACTGTTTTAAATATTGATGATAATAATAATGTTTCTTGAACGGCAAATCAGCATATTGGAATGTTTTCTGAAGAATCATGTGACACTGAAGACTGGAGTAATGATGCTAAAAATTCTGCTTTGATCACAGGAATAAATTACATTTAAAAATATATTCAAATAGAAAGCACTTATTTTAAATAGTAAAAAATATTTCACAACTAGGGTTGTAACGATATGAGATTTTCACATTGTGATAATCGTCTCAGAAAATATCATGGTATCACGGTATATATTCAACAATAATTCTTATCAGTAACAATGACTCTTAAAAGAATAAGAACAAGTTATTTGAGTGAACAAATCCTTTATTACAACGAACTTGAAACCATTTTAATGAAGGTATTGAAGTCTCCCTTCTGAAAATAATAATAATAAACAAATTTCATTTAATTTTAAAAACAATTAAAAAATAAAGCTATACACCTTATGTATATCTATATCACACTTTAACATTTTAATTAATGTTTTAAAATGTTATCAAAGGAAAATTTTACAACTTTTACTTTTGGCAAAGTTCTGCACAACAAAGGTATACTAAGTTAAAACATGGACAAACATGATATTCCTTAAAAATAATGTTTAAATAAATTCATTATAAAGAATATTATTATTGTTGTTATGAGAACTTTGAAGTACATTGAACAATGCTAATATATTTGTCATAATTTCAAGTTAAATCAAACTTTATTTTGATGGTTTGTAGTGGACCTGTATGGACCTTTGAGTTTCAGTGTATTTGACAATGATTTTTCTCAAATAAAACTAGGAAATGTTTATTTAAGTTTTCTCTCAGAGCAGCTCTGCTGATGTTCATGTTTATGTAGACACTGAAATCACCATTCGCGTCATGCGTACTTCAGTGTGTAGTAGATAAAACGGCGCCACTCAGAGACGTGCAGAATTTGCAGATATAAGCAGATTACTTATATAGCAGTCTCTTCGCGCTTCACAGACGCATCATATTTACTTTTGATTTATCCATCAGATTGTGCATTGCTCTGCATCACGGAATCATACGGGCTTAATTTATAACTTGTTATAAATGCAACATATCTTTATCTGCACGCAGGGATGGTGTTCGTGAATATGAGGGAACATGTTGGATGGATGTATTGCCTGCTTTTACAGCCACTTTGCGTCCACATTTTTTGCAAATTGGATCCATCCTCAAGGACAACCCCGCATTCGTTTTTTATATATATATCTATATATCTATTAGGGGTGTAACGGTACACAAATATGACAGTTCGGTACGTACCTCGGTTTTAATGTCACGGTTCGGTATGATTTCGGTACAGCAGGGGGGAAAACTAAACTTTTTATTTTATTTATGGTTTACTGAAGTTGCTCTTTCTTTAAATACATTCAGTTATAGTTAAAATTTTCTTAGTGATAAAAATCTTATCAGCTTATGCTTAAAACTATAGGGAGACCTTTTACATTATAAGGTTATAATTAGGCCTAACAACTTAACCCAAACTTAAATTTAATTGCTATTTATTTTTAAATAGATGATCAACACTCAACTTAAAAAAAAAATAAAAAATTGTATGCAAACATGTAAATTGCACATAATACAGTTTTTAAATTAACTTATAAATAATAACATTTCTAAGTTATTTGTTAAAATATATTCAATTACACAATGGCTGTCATAGCATGTTTCATAACAGATTAATTTAAACATACTGTACATTAAGTAATTAAGACTAACAGGTTTAGTAAAATTTAATGAGTATATGGTGTAATATTTCGCACAATGCTCCTCTCTAGACTTAATTTCTCTAGTGAACTAACGAGCTGTGTTTTATTTCCACGCTGTATTGTTGATGTCTTTCCGCGGTTGAAACACTGATTGAGCAATTACATGAGGCATGAGATGTTCAGTCATGTTTATTGGTGTTAAAACTAGTAGTACAGAGGAAGGAATGATCGAGTTCACTCTCGCTCCGCTCTGCACAAATCTGCGGGGCGTCACGGCTCTAACACGGGAACCGGAGC